GGAAGAGGAGAGAGAGGAACCAGGGCTAACCGGAACAGGGCCATGGAGATGGCGGGGGCCATGAGCGGTGGGGGTGGGCTGTGCACAAGAGAGCGCCACCAAGCAGTGGTCATCCCTTGGCGGCGCTCCGGGGGGGATGGGGAGGACGGGGGGGGAGAAGGAGCAGCAAGAAAAAAGATAGGGCAAAAAAGAGGGACTTGATCAGACAGCCAAAACATGTGCGAACAGCTGTCTGTACCGAGCCGGCCACGCACACGGAAGAGAGGATGGCCAGCTGTATTGGGTCTGCGCACGATGCGAAAGAAGCGTGGCCTTGCTGGCTGCTCTGCAAGGGGATGCATCTGGCCGAATCGGACCGCTGGTTTAGCACCGCCCGATAAGCCTGCCATCAAACGAAAGACAAGCTTGGTGATAATATAATGGTGTTTGTTTTTCGCGATGGCGACCATTACCACCACCACCCCCATGTTATCGTCACGCTTCTCGCCGGCACTGTCTGGGAACGCTTGAGAGTAGCGAATCAGAACGCGGACGGCAGAAACCTATAAGGAGATGCTACGGCAGAGAGCGCGTACGTAGAGGGATCTGCTACGGCTGAACGGTTCCCTCCTCCTATTCCTCCTAGTCCTCCTCCTCCTGATCATCATCATCACCGTCGTCCTCGTCGCCGCCGTCATCGTGGTCGTACATGTCTTTCTCTGGACGCACTCGACTTCTTCATTCTGTTGCAAGGTGCTACATGCATGGGCTGGGAAGGGGGGAAGGAGTGAGCGAGGCAGGCAGGCCGGGCCAGGCCGAAACGACCTGTCTGACTGCACTTCTGTTGACGGTTCGCGCTCTGGTGTGTGTGTGTGAGTGAATGAGTGAGTGAGTGTGTGCGCGTGTGCGTGTGTGCGTGTGTGCGTGTGTGCGTGTGTGCGTGTGCGTGCGTGTGTGCGTGTGTGCGTGTGTGCGTGTGCGTGTGTGCGCGTGTGCGTGTGTGCGTGTGTGCGTGTGTGCGTGTATGCGCGTGTGCGTGTGTGCGTGTTTGCGTGTGTGCGTGTGTGCGCGTGTGCGTGTGTGCGTGTGTGCGTGTGTGCGTGTGTGTGCGCGTGTGCGTGTGTGCGTGTGTGCGTGTGTGCGTTGTGTGCGTGCGTGTGCGTGTGTGCGTGTGTGCGTGTGTGCGTGTGTGCGTGTGCGTGGTGCGGTTGTGCTGCGCGTGTGTGCGCGTGTGTGCGTGTTGCGGTGGCGTGTTTGCGTGTGTGCGTGTGTGCGGTGCGCGTGTGCGTGGGTGCTTGTGCGTGAGTGTCGGTGTGTTGGTTAGCGTGTGTGTCGCGTGTTGTTTTCGTGTGCGTGTGTGCGTGTGTGCGTGTGTGCGTGTGTGCGTGTGTGCGTGTGTGCGTGTGTGCGTGTGTGCGTGTGTGCGAGTGTGCGTGTGTGCGAGTGTGCGTGTGTGCGTGTGTGCGTGTGTGCGTGTGTGCGTGTGTGCGTGTGTGCGTGTGTGCGTGTGTGCGTGTGTGCGTGTGTGCGTGTGTGCGTGTGTGCGTGTGTGCGTGTGTGCGTGTGTGCGTGTGTGCGTGTGTGGGTGTGTGCGTGTGTGCGTGTGTGCGTGTGTGCGTGTGTGCGTGTGTGCGTGTGTGCGTGTGTGCGTGTGTGCGTGTGTGCGTGTGTGCGTGTGTGCGTGTGTGCGTGTGTGCGTGTGTGCGTGTGTGCGTGTGTGCGTTTGTGCGTGTGTGCGTGTGTGCGTGTGTGCGTGTGTGCGTGTGTGCGTGTGTGCGTGTGTGCGTGTGTGCGTGTGTGCGTGTGTGCGTGTGTGCGTGTGTGCGTGTGTGCGTGTGTGCGTGTGTGCGTGAGTGCAAGTGCGCGTGTGTGCGTGTGTGCGTGTGTGCGCGTGTGCGTGTCTGCGTGTGTGCGTGTGTGCGTGTGTGCGTGTGTGCGTGTGTGCGTGTGTGCGTGTGTGCGTGTGTGCGTGTGTGCGTGTGTGCGTGTGTGCGTGTGTGCGTGTATAAAAAAGCAGTGTACGTGTGGCGTGTGCGTGTGCGTATTGTGCGTGTGTGCGTGTGTGCGGTGCGTGCTGTGTGCTGTGCGTGTGCGTGGTGCGTGTGCGTGCGTGCGTGTGCGTGCGTGTGTGCGTGTGTGCGTGTGTGCGTTTGTGCGTGTGTGCGTGTGCGTGTTGCGTGTGTGGCGTGTTTGCGTGTGTGCGTGTGTGCGGTAGCGTGTTTGCGAATGTGCGTGTGTGCGTGTGTGCGTGTGTGCGTGTGTGCGTGTGTGCGTGTGTGCGTGTGTGCGCGTGTGCGTGTGCGTGTGTCTGTGAGTCTGTGTGTCTGTGTGTCCGTGTGTCTGTGTGTCTGTCTGCCTGTCTGCCTGTCTGTCTGTCTGTGCGTGTGTGCGTGTGTGCGTGTGCGTGTGTGCGTGTTTGCGTGTTTGCGTGTGTGCGTGTGTGCGTGTATGCGTGTGTGCGTGTGTGCGTGTGAGCGTGTGCGCGTGTGCGCGTGTGTGCGTGTGTGCGTGAGTGCGTGTGTGCGCGTATGCGTGTGTGCGTGTGGGCGTGTGTGCGTGTGTGCGGGTGTGCGTGTGTGCGCGTGTGCGTGTGTGAGCGTGTGCGTGTGTGTGTGCGTGTGTGCGTGTGTGCGTGTGCGTGTGTGCGTGTGTGCGTGTGTGCGTGTGTGCGTGTGTGCGTGTGTGTGCGTGCGTGTGTGCGTGTGTGCGTGTGCGTGTGTGCGTGTGTGTGTGCGTGTGTGCGTGTGTACGTGTGTTCGTGTGTGCGTGTGTGCGTGTGTGCGTGTGTGCGTGTGTGCGTGTGTGCGATCGCGTGTGTGTGCGTGTGTGCGTGTGTTCGTGTGTGCGTGTGCGTGTGCGTGTGCGCGTATGCGTGCGTGTGCGTGTGTGCGTGTGTGCGTGTGTGCTGTGTGTGTTTGTGCGTGTGTGCGTGGCGTGTGCGTGTGTGCGTGTGGGTGTGGTGTGCGTGTTTGCGTGTGTGCGTGTGTGTGTGTGTGTGTGTGCGTGTGTGCGTGTGTGCGTGTGTGCGTGTGTGCGTGTGTGCGTGTGTGCGTGTGTGCGTGTGTGCGTGTGCGTGTGCGTGTGTCTGTGTGTCTGTGTGTCTGTGTGTCTGTGTGTCTGTCTGCCTGTCTGTCGGTCTGTCTGCCTGCCTGCCTGTCTGTGTGTCTGTCTGTCTGTCTGTCTGTCTGCCTGCCTTTGTCTGTCTGTGTGTCTGTGTGTGTGTCTGTGTGTCTGTGTGTGTGTCTGTGTGTTTGTGTGTCTGTGTGTCTGTGTGCGTGTGTGCGTTGGGGGGGGAAGGGGAGGGGGGGGGGGGGCGTTCCCGGGCCCGAGCGGGGGAACTGGCCTCGTCGTCATGGTCCTCTCCTCTATCTTCCCCATACTCTACCTCACGTCGTCCTGTTCTTCCTTTTTGCGTTGGGGGCGCACAGAATGGCCCAGGCCCAGGAGATACAGGTGTGCCGCCAACACCGCACAATATTCTAATTCGGTCGAGGATTTCAAGAAGTTGCCCCGCTCCCCGGAACATGCAACATGCAGGAGGTTAACCGCGTGATGCCCCTCCCTGCGCAAGCGCGCTCTGTAAACAGTCGCAGCTACCGCGCCCCCCGAAACAACTCGATGCAGAAAATCAGCGGCGCGGCGTCCATCCCTGCGCAAGGCAAGTGCGCTGTGAAACCAGTGATGGTTACCAAGTTTGGACGACTTGCGTGGATGACTGCTGTCGGTTTTCCTGAAAGGGCGGCAGCACGAGATGCACACGACGATTCGCGCTAGCAAACGCGTCACAATCAATATCCGACGACCACTGCCCTGGGGCCACCAGGGTGCGAATACGACACCCTCAGCTCGGATGGTGGCAGATGCGGCAGGGCAGAGCGTGCGCCTTCGAGCACCACAGTGGCCCGCGACCACCACGACGTGCTCGGTTAGGAACATACGCAATGCTAGGACAACGACAGGCGGAGGAGGAGAAGGAGGAGGAGGAGGAAGAGGCTGAGGAGGCGGCAGCACGAGGGGGAGGAGGAGAGGGAAGGAGAGGAGGAGGAAGGGGAAGAGGATGAGGAGGAAAGGGAGGAGGAGGAGGACGAGGAGGACGACGACAACGAGGCCCCTCCCCGTCTCGGGCCGAGACCCCTTCCTATAGAGCACGAGTGGACAGCAGAAGCGGAATCACGCAGGCCGTTTCGCCCACTGGCCCCGCCTCTCTCTCGCCCCCGCCCCTCCTCCCAGCTCCGACCCCTCTGCGTCTTGACCTTGCCGTGAGGCAGACTGCAGAAGAAGACGAAGGCCAAGAGGACGAGAGGAGGAAAGCTACGACGACGACGACGACGACGACGACGACGACGACGACGACGACAAGACGAGTGCGACCACCAGAGGCGGCCAACCCTCCCCATCCCAAGAACCGACCGCTACCGCCCGGGAATTAAAAAACGATGTCTAAACCACCCCCCATGCTTCCAGCTAGACAGGAGTCACATATTCGAACCATACGACTCAAGGGAATGTCCAGTGAGAGTCCCGCCTTTAAAAAAGAGCCACCCTGCATCGATGTAACAGTTGTCCACGCTCCAGGTGCTGGCAATGAACCTCAGGATGTCTCATGCGAGGGCCTCGTTGTGAGAATGGTCCGCCCTCCATCCTGATAGTTGTCGAGAGCTTGTGAGATGAATGTTCGCAGCGCTGAGGCGGAGAGCCCCATTTCGAAAACTGCCCGCACTCCATCTGGTAGTTGCTGAACGATGTTAAGCCGAATGATCGCGGCGCTATTGCGAAGGAGCCTGTTGGAAGGACAGACGTGTCTGGTGTTGCGAAGCGGAGATTCTTCGGAAGAAACAAGGGTAGAGGGAGAAGGGGGGAGGCAAGAGTGGGAGGAAGAGAAGGAGGCGGAGGGAGAAAAGAAGATCCCTTCCCCTCAACTCCCGTGTCTTCCTCCTCATCCCTCCCCTCCCCTCCCCCCTTCCATCCCCTCCCCCCCCCTTCCCCATCGCCCCCATCCCCCCCCATCCCCTCAACCCCGCCTTCTGGCTCCCTGCGCGGCTCACGATGTACCCCCAGGCGCCCGCGGAGCCCCCCGACTCGGGGTCCGTGGTGCTGCTGCCGATCCAGTACCTGCCTCCTTTCCGCTGGGGCAAGCAGAACGGTGCACGATGACCATGGAACTATTGGCCACCAGCTCTGGCCACCGTCGCATGGGCTCGAGCGCGCGCGCAAGCGCGCCGTTGTGAACACGACGAGGCGCTCGCCATCGGAAGCATGCGTGCGCGTCGACACACATCTTGGTGTGTCTCGAGACACGCTTGATCAGGCGCCTCTGCGCATCGGTACAGCGACATACCGGTGTGACATCTGTGTTGGTCGCACGTCTGCACATGCATCCATCATGCATCATCGAAGCAAGTGCGCGAAAAAGGAAGATGTACACGGTATCGCGTCCAACAACTAGTCCGTGGTGTGCCAAGTGCCTCCTGATCAAGAATATAGTGGGAACAAGACACAGCGAGAGGGTGCGAAATAGAGAGAGAGAGAACAACAAAAATATGAATGATGCAGGCACGGAAGAATGGAGGAGCACGGAGGAGGAGGGCACGGAGAAGCGTGGCAAAAAAACGAGGGAGGCAATAACAGAAGAGGCAATGCTGAAGAGGCTGAGAAGGAAGAAGAGGGATTGATAAGGAAACGAGGGGAATAAGGAGGATAGGGGAATATGGATATGTGAGGATAGGCAGCTCCAGCAGTACCACACAGAGGGGGGCATTAGTGAGAAGTAGGATGAATGAGAAAAAACAGGGATGCAGCAAGGAGGATATAGTAGGAAAAGGGAAGAAGAGAGTAGGGAGGAAAGAGGAATGATAGCATACAAAGATGATGATGACATGAGTAATCGACAGAGGAGGAGGAGGAGGAGGAGGAGGAGGAGTAGGCGGAGGCGTGAGGAAGAAGGTGTGAGGAGGGAGGAAGAGGAAAGGAGTAGAAGGAAGAGGAGAACTACGATGAGGACGAGAGGAGGAGAGAGGAGAACGCGGTGGAAAAGGAGGAGGACTGAGGAGGAGGGGGAGGACGAAGAGGAACCGCCGCAGCAGGAGGCGGAGGAGGTAAGAAGGGATGAGGGGGTGGAGGCAGAGGCGGAGGTCTAGTCGGGAGGGCGCATCTTCTGCACACCTGGAAGGGCGGCATTAGCAGTTCCAGCTGAGCATGCACGGTGGTCAGATCTCGCAATTCCGAGATGTGTGAAGTGAGCAGGGAAGAGGTTTGGGAGCGATAAAGAACGAAGATCCGGATGCTGAGGAAGTGGAGGAGGGGAGGTGTAAGGTGGGATGAGAGGGAGGGCCCTGATTGTTCACCCACCCCCTTCAAGGAAGAGGGAGCGGAAGGCAGAGGAAGGACGGGGGGCATGTGGGGAGGGCGAGATGGAGGGGGGCCGAGGAGTAGAAGGGAGGAGGGGGAAAGTTCGGTGGCAACTCATGGGAGCCTCCCATACCATCTTGTCGGCTCTTGCGAATCGACGCTGGTCGACGCTAAATTGACGCTAGATCGACGCTAAATCCACGCTAATCGACGCTAAGTCGGCGCTATCCGATCCACTCCCAGACGCGAATCGACGCTAATCGACCCAACAGACAAAATTACGAGGGTACACAAGGCTCCAATGATCTGCTACCGAAGTGAAGAATGAGCACGGGCAGGAGGAGGAGGAGGACGAGGAGGAGGAGGAGGAGGAGGAGGAGGAGAAGGATCCAGACGCAGACCCTGAGCGACTGGAGCACAGGAAGTAAGTCGTCTGAGCTGGGTAGGACGAAGCCCTGTGCAGCACCTTGTCCATGTGGAGCTCCTGGGCGTCGGCCGAGATCGCTCCAACTCGCAGCGAATGCGGGCAAGATTTGTATCCATATCCACTGCGCCTTGGACTCTCTGGGAAGGGGTGCCACAAGGCCGAGGCGCAGTGGATATGGATGTAAACCTAGCCCCCCAAAGGGCCAGATCTCTATACATATCCACTGCGCCTCGGGCTTCTGGGGAAGGGAGCCCGAGACTCCACGACGCAGCGGGTATGGATACGCACCCTGCCCGCAGAGTATCGTCCGAGAAGAGAGGGCGGCGTCAGCTCAGCGCTGCTTCACGAAGCCAGGCAATACCAACCGGTATATCGAATCGGGACATCGGCTCGGATCGGATCGTTTGCATCGGAGCGGGCTGCATCGGCACGGAGCTGGACTCCCATTGGATCGGCAAGACCAGGATGCACGACGGCGCCACGCGAGCATCGGCCGCATCGGATGGCCGGGCTATCGGACCTCAATCGGATCCGGCCTGCCGACACCGATATCACATCGGATCGATCGGATCGAAACGAACCCTACAGGGCCCTCTGCGCCATCTTGACCCTAAGCATGCTTGCGGGGGGATGGCGCTCTCGAGAACCTCGAATGCTCCCAGGACGGACGGGTGTGATCCGACAGATCGTCTCGATGGACCCGGTGTTGACTGAAGGGGCCACAGTGCGACCGAGGGGTCTCGTGGAGAAGTGGCAGCCTCTGCGACGGGTCTGACGCAGGTGGGCGCGAATGTCGGCGCAGTCGACCCCGCTTTCGTTGCGCCACCCACGCCAGGTGCTCACGCCTTTGGCACAGGCGGGAGGCACTGCCAACCCAGGGAGCCCACAAAGGACGCAAACGCCCAACCACGCACATGAACGCGGCCCCCCCATGCGCCAGACCAGCCGCATGAAACGAACGTTCGCGCCATGCATGCTCTTGAAACCAACGTGGGTTCATGTGCGCGTACAGTGGAGACCAGTCCATAAGAACCCCTCCCCAAGAAACCCAACCCTGAGACCCCAGGACGTCCCTTGATGTTTGGTGCGGGAACGTCACGCTTCCCATCGAAAAACCATCGAAGCCCAAGAAACCCAGGACACCCTGGAGGCAAGTAAGGTATCTCTTGGCGGGGCATCCGCGAACAAACGCGGGGTCGCGGGCCAAGGGTCTTGCCCGCGAGGCCGCGAGTATACGGATATGTGTTTCGCCCGCGGCCCTCTCTCTCTCTCTCTCTCGTGGGCGTCCACGCGCGCTGAGCTGGGCCGCAGAAGGGAACACGAAATCCAACACTGCTGCCCCCTGCTCTGGGAAGGGAAGATTTGGACGCCCGGGATGGGTACGGAAACGACGGGCACGATGTCCTACGACAAGCAAGTGCTGTCCAACACCGACAGCGGCCGCTCTTGGTGGCAGGCGGCCTCCTACTTCCGCGGCGGCACCGACAGAAAGTCATTTTCAGAATGGGAAAGGGACTGCCGTCGGTCTCTGTACTACCGAGGCGTAGACCTAAGGAACCCTAGATACGGAACGAAGCCCCTTTTTCCCATGAGTGAAACTGCGATTTCCCATGGGAAACATCAAACCGTAACACAATCAAGGAACACCGAGCCCCTCCCCTACGAAAAGGGTTCCTTCTTCAGCGCCCCGACTGTACCCATTCCTTCGGTGCCCGGTTTGCTCTCGTGCCAACCCGCCGCCCAGCTCCTCCTCGGACCGCAGGCTGCCGGGCTCCGGGACGGGCACTCGCAGATCCATGATCCGCACGCCCCAGGCCGAGGAGGCGGTGCCACCGGCCATGGGACGCACAAAGACATACTAGTACTAGATGTTCTCCTTGGAGGCGCGCATCCGACCCGAATATGTAGTATACCCATCTTGTAGTAGATCGCTTCCCGAGCGGTGTGGCCAGAAAGCGCCCGCCAAGACGCACACACTATAAGATTTCTCGGTGCGCGCGTCGCCCCTGGGGGGCGACGCACATATAGTAGAAGTATGTTCCGGTGATGCCGAGCCCCATCCCAGCGCAGCGACATGCGTCCCGAGGAAAACGGGTCCTTGACCTTGGGGCACTCCCAGGCACCGACTTGTCATCCCGAGCTGATGTGCGTTTCGGCCCTGGCGCCTGTAGGATAGGCCCCAGGGGACCGAGCACGGCGGATGACCTCAGGACTCCTTTCTCCCAGCGATTTCTGTGGCGAGACCCCATCCTCGCGGGGGCTGGCGGCGCGTCGGCAGTCTCTCGAATCTTCCGCGCCCGCGCGTACTCCAGGGTCCTCGCGGGGGGACGGACGCCTCCGCGATGCCGTGAGCGCTGGTTTCTGACAACGCGTAGATCGTTCAACTTTGAACGGTCGCCGCTTTTGGAGAGCGAAGGTCGTTCAATACTGGCCGAACTCGGGCAACTGTTGGAGTACAGCCTTGAACGCCCGCGCTAGTGTCGCCGCCGCGTCAACGCGGCGCGAACCTACCGTATTGGGCATCACTTGCAACCAGTGTTCACGGGATCGGCATTAGGTAAGCGAGTCCTGAAAGAAGTGGGTCCCTGCCCCCAGGGCCTTTCTTCGTACCAGTTTTCGTCGTGAGCCGCTGTTTGACCATCTCTTGGCCGAGGAAAGCCTCAGGAATGCTGAAGCTTACAAAAACCAAAAAATCAACTGGTCGTTCGGATTGTTTCGCGACGCAGTGGTAGCGTAGGCCAACAGAGGCGATTGGGTGCCTCTGGAGTCACTGAGACTGGCCACGCAGCCACACAAGCCTCGATCCTCGAAGCTCGATCCTGAACCGCCAATCCAGAGGGCCCAAGTTCACCACGTCCAGGGAAGCACCCGCGGACACGATGATGTCGCTCACCTGCTAAGAGCCAGAAGAGACATGGAGGAAATGCAGCATGGATGTCCCCTCTGTGAGCCAAACAACACACAACAACAAAAAACGCTCTTCCCCCAATACCCTTTTGGCTCATGGCGATCACCACGCGGTTGAAGTCCGGGTGCAGCGTCTGGTCGTCCTCGGGACGCCCACGGTGCGTGAGACGCCGGGCAGACTCGACACCGACGATTGGATGGAGAGCTGTCGTCGAATCAGCTTCGGATCCGAGGAGAACGGGGAAGGAGGAGAAGAAGGAGGAAGAGGAAGAGGGGGAGGAGGATCGTGGAGGAGGATCGTGGGTCGAGCATCTGGGTCTTTTCACATGTATGGCTCCTTTCGGCCCTCCAGAGGCCCCTGGGAACCTGCCTAAGAGGTCCCCAGGGGTAACTGGAGATCTCTGAGTCGTCTGGAGACCTCTGGGGGCCGCTGGAGGAGGAAGAGTGCGATGGGCCAGGATGGTGAGAAGGACAAGGACGAGGGAAGCGATGAGTAGAAGTTTCGAGGATCGGGTCAATCCAGCCCCGGGTCCATCAGGCCATGCCATGCAAGACCCTGCAGGACCCTGCAGGATCGTTTTCTGACGGTCCCGAGGGCCGAAAAGGGCCCCCAGAGGCAGCAAATAGGAAAAAACCTCCCGTCGTTTTTTTTTTAAGGGACCCGAGGAGGTCTGGGCTTGCACTGACCCCCTGTCGCAGGGCTCCCGAAGGTGTTACCAGGTCCCGTGGCTCTGGGGCCCGGACGCTTCGGAGCGACCCGTTTGCGCCCCCTGCCGCCGAGGGCCCGTGCGATGCCGTCCCTGCCGCTCTTCCTCGTCCTCGTCCTCGGCAGGAGTCATGCTCCTGCTCCTGCTCCTGCTCCTGCTCCTGCTCCTGCTCCTGCTCCTGCTCCTGCTCCTCGTCCTCCTCCTCCTCCTCCTCCTCCTCCTCCTCATCCTATGCCCATCATCATCATCAGCAGCAGCAGCATCATCAGCATCATCAGCATCATCAGCATCATCAGCATCATCATCATCATCATCATCATCATCATCATCATCATCATCATCAGCATCATCATCAGCAGCAGCATTAGCATCAGCATAAGCATCATCATCACATCATGGCCATTATCAGCATCATCAGCATCTTCAGTTTCATCATCATCATCATCATCATCATCATCATCATCATCATCATCATCATCATCATCATCATCATCATCATCATCATCATCATTATCATCATTATAAACCTGCTTACGATCATCGTCATCATCATCACCATCACCATCATCTTCAGCATCAGCATCATCAGCATCATCATCCATAGCAGCATCATCACCACCACCACCATCATCATCATCACCACCACCATCATCATCATCAGCATCATCATCATCATCGTCATCATCATCAGCATCATCATTGTCATCGTCGTTATCATCATCATCATCATGATCATGATCATCATCATCATCATCATCATCATCATCATCATCATCAGCATCATCATCATCATCATCGTAATCGTCATCATCCACCTCCTCCTCCTCCTCCTCCTCCTCCTCATCCTCAGCATCATCGACATCCCCGAATGGTGAAGCACGCTAGGGGTACACAGAAGAAGGGCTCCTCGAGGATCACACCAAACGGACATCCAGAGTCCACGAAGGACTGGGCGGCGGCGAGGTGCGACAGGTACGAGCCGACGTACCTGAAGGAGGAGGAGGAGGAGGAAATACGCCCTGTCTCCGCCAACGGTGGGGCACCTCACCCCTCCCCGCTGTCCTGCATACCCTCCATGCCGCTGGGCCGACCCCGCGTGCCTCGCCCGCCTGGAGAGCAGCCGCCCCCCCTGGCCGAGGGCGACGAAGGGAAGGCTGGCCCGTGCCAAGGGGGAGGGCTCGGATCCGGGGGACCATAGCTGGCCTGACGGGGCCGTCAGGACAATGACGAGGCCCACTCTGAAATCTGACGCGCGCGCTCCCGCTGCAAGCCTTCCACGACAGCTGGCCTTTCAGAACCCAGGACGGGCTCGCCAGGAAGCGCCGGCCAGCCCGAGCTCCAGCGAACTCGAGCCTCATGTATGCCCCCGAGGGCGGAGTGGGGGCACGCAGCACGTGGGCCTCCGAGCAGGCACCCGAACACAGAAGACCACACCGGCATGACCTCTCGGAGATCCGCGGGCCCTGCCTGGGTCCGCGCCGGGAGCCCCTCCTCCCCGCCTCCCGGGGCGGGCCTCCCATGGCAGCCCACGGAGCGCCCCGGCGCTGTGGGTCGCCTCGCCAGGTAACGGCCGAAGAGCTCCCTTGGCATCCTCTCACTGTCGAGAGAAGAGCACACACACACACTCAGACCTCTCGGGAGCGGGAGTGGGGACAGGCAAGGACATGAAGGCGCTGCAGGAATGGGTGCGGGTTGTCGAACCCCGAGGGGGGCTCCCCGTGCGAGCGACAAAACTTATTGATCTGCAGGGCGAGAGCGAGCCTTTTCCGCTAAAAGCTCCGCGGGACGCGCGCGGCTTGGACTGACAGAGAGGTGGGCGAGGGCGAGCGGGGCCTCACGCGGCCAGGAGCGGGCGGAGCCCGGGGATCAGGCGGTGCCGAACGGGATGTGCAGGAAAAGGTACACCTTGGACAGGAGCCCGGTGGTGAAGTCCCGGAAGGAAAAGGGGGCTGTGGTGTAGCCGTCAGCGGCACTTCGCGAACACCAGCCTCCCGTACTGCGGGAGGGACGCGCCACTTGACCAGGTCGACGCGCGGGGGGAAGAGGAGCACCACCATCCGACAAAACACACACACACACACACACGCATAATCCCCACGAAACTCCACCCCGAGGCATCTGCGGGCCGCAGAGGTAGGGGTGCTGGTTGTCAGCCCAGTGGCGCGCCTTGGGAGAATCGCGACCGAAGGCCCGTGGCGATTCTCAAGACGTAAGGGCCCCCGCTGGGCTCCAGGGCTGTCTCGCAGCAGAGTGGCGGCGGCGGCACGCCCCGCGCAGCTCCGAGGGGCAGGGAGAGGAGGAGGAGGAGGAGGAGGAGGAGGAGGAAGGGAGGGGGAGGAGGGAGGGGAGGAAGGAGAGTAGGAGGAGGAGGATGAGGAGGCGGAGGAGGAGTAGGAGGAGGGAGGAAGAAGGGAGGAAGGAGGAGGGGGGATGAGGATGTGTGGGGTGAGGGGGAGGAGGGGGAGGAGGAGGAGGAGGAGGAGGAGGAGGAGGAGGAGGAGGAGGGGCACGCCCCGGCGGAGGGGAGGGTCGAGGTGTGGTGGCCAGTGCATGCAGGTCCAGGTGGGGTGCCATCCGCTGGGCCTCCCTCGGGCGGCAGTAGAATGGCGAGGCGGCCCCCCTCTCCTGTCCAGACGTGTCGGCAGGGGGCGGGCTGGGCGATTCGCCCGAGACTTCTCTTCGCCGCTCCTGGCCCGGCAGCCAGAAACTTCTGCGGTCGAGGACCTCTGCTTAGCGTGTCGCGGCGGCAGCCCCAGCGACA